ACCAAAATCTAATTTAAGATGGGAAAAATTACTTGTTACTTACTAGGGTACTTTTTGAGGCATGCAGGTAGGACATAGATATTTTCAAAGCAGTGAATTTACTTAATCAGAAATAGTAACTCTGAAATGTTGGTTTTAATTCTCAGTTACATGATTCATAAGGCAAGTTGAGTGTTGCACGTAGTATATGACTTAAAGAAAAGCAGTTTTTTGGCAGGGACCGGCTGCATCCGTGTGTTCTCTCAAAGCATGCTTTCGTGCTGGAAGCTACAGTAGTAATTGTTTTTACTTGAACAGTGCTCAGGAGAGACTTTAAATTTCTGGCTTCTTTGCTTAACAGTATTGTAACAACTCTGAAATGCGCAGGTCTTGCTCTTAGAAAGAGGACTACAATCTGGGTTAGAGAGCTGCAGTCTTTTTTTTTTTTTTTTTTTTCCAAAAAAACAAAATACACACAGAAAAACTGTTTAAAAACAGAAGCAGGTGTTTGTTCACCCATTAGATGAACAAATAAATACAGCAAACAAACTTATTTCTCTATTGATTTGCATGAGAAGAGATCTCGGAAGTGCTGTTATTTAACTGCTCCGAGGGGCTCTAGAGGGCTGCACAGTTGGCTTGGTGCTCATGTCTACCTGGTCGTACTGCACACGGCTTCTGTCTCAGCTCCTGTCAGAATGAAAGTTGCAAACAGGGTTTCATTGTTCGGGAAGTTGATAAAAAGTAGATTTTTACCGTGTGTTAAAGTTCAGGAAGGTGGTTGATGTAGATTATTGAATTTGCCTCACTGGGGTGGTAGTTTCTGATTATGCAAAAGAAAATTCTTGAAAAATCTGAATTCTGCTGTTAAAATATACCTGCTTATCCCAATCATTTCTGTACACACTGGAAGAGAGTAAACAGCATAAGTCTGTTTTCCATAAGTCTTTTTTGATTTGAAGGTTGGAGCTTGGTGGGGAAGGTTTAAAAAAGATAAATGGAAATGGAGAAGTAATGTTAGTTAAGGCTTGAGAATAATAAGTTATTCTTAAGTAACTCTATGGCTCTTCTTGCAGATGAGATGTTGCCAGATGATGTGAAGGAGCGTTTGACTTCACTAGCTGAAGAGATAGTGGATCTGGCTTCTCATATCCCTGGATCTTCTGGACAACTTGGAAACTTGCAGAGGTTAGGTTTTTTTGAGTACTTGATCTGTCTGCTGAGGTCTAAAACAACACAGTATATCTGTTAACTATCTGATATTTCTTTATCTTTTAAAAAACAAGAAAGCAAAGCTCACTCGAGGGAAAATGTTGCCTTTATACCTAGATGTGATAAATACAGCTTTTCTCTGACCTAATTGCAGTGGATTTGCAGTTGAACTTTGCTAGATCCACTTCTTGCTGAAATGCAAGACCTACTTCCATAAGTATTCAGAGCTCTAATGTGCCTGATTATATCAAGTATCCAGACTTCTAGTAAGTGTGGGAGCAACACCACAAACTGTTCGCAGAATCTTAATAGCTTTTCTTCAGTGTCATCAAAGAGTTTGGGCTTACATTCTTGCAGCAAGCAAGCTGCAGCTGAGAGACAAGCCTTTGTATATGAGATTTTGGGGAAATTTGTCCGGAGAAGCTGGGTGTCTCAGAATTCTCAGATTGGTTTGGAGATAAGGTGTATGCAGTAACACTTGGTCATTTTTTGCCTAACTTTTCTATTTTACCTTTCAGAGCTGCAGAAATACTTGTTGATATCTCAGAAAATGTAAGTGCTTTAAGAAGCACGCTGTTTGGTGGTAACAGTTCCCCTTCTATGTTCAAGAGGAACTGTGCAGCAGCTCCGGAGTCCACAGATGCTGAAGCCGAAGACGCTAAATTGTCTGAATTTCCTAAAAAACTGCAAGGCGACTTCAACATCTGCTCAGATGCTACATTAGCTGCCCTCTGGGAGGGAGATGGCAATGTAGGAGAAGCAGAGATTGATGATGCTGAGAAGAAAGAAGGGCCTGTAGCAGCTGATTCTAAGGACAGAGCAGGCAGAGATGACTTCATGTCGCTGGATATTACTGAGCACGAACTGCAGATGTTGGAGCAGCAGGCTGCAAAAGAATTTCTAAATGAAGCTGTGCCTGAGGTAATAAGAAAAACCCTTGTAAAGCATAAGCACTTACCAGAGGAAGTGATCGCATCCTTGATTTCCCATGGGATTTTAGAAGGCTGTCTTGCTGAGAGGAAAATGGGGCAAGCGAGAGGAAGGGCTTTGAGTCTGCAAAGTATTGGTGGAGGTAGTCAGACACTGAGCTGCTCTTCAGACTGTTGGGACAACTAGTACTGAGTGCAGACACTCAAGATACTCTGATTAGTTTTATTCTTTCAAGTGTTAACACCCTTAGAGTAAGGAATTCCAGCAATATGAGGACAAATTCTCTAGTCCAACACCTCCAACTTGGTCATGAATAGAAAGCAGATATTTATCCAAGGGATCTGTAAACTGTAGCCCTTCCAGTGACTGATAAATGTCAATTAATGCATCTTCCATCAAATGATAATTTTCCTATGTTCCAAGCGTTTCCCATACCTGGTGAGACTAGTTTTATTTTCTTCTTATCTTATATTTCCTATGTCTTAAATCTTTTAAAACTTATGTTTTAATATTGTTCCAAATGTGTTTCATTGTGGGCAGGCATCAGAACTGAATGTTGAGCCGAGTAGTTTTTGGCAAGAGTTAAAAGCATGGAGAAATAGCTTATAACATGTAAGAATGGTATGAAGAACTTAGTAAAATTGGAATAGCTTTTAGGATAGAAAAAAAATGAAGGCAAAATATAAATGAGTAATATATGTATTTTTTTTTCCTTAGGAGGAATCTTCCACAGATAACGAACAAAATATTTCCTGTGTGATTGAGAGCGATGAAGAATTGGAAATGGAGATGCTTAAAGTAAGTGCTTTTGAGTTTATTTTTTGGGCCAGAGTGGAATAAAGCGTTGAGGGGGCTGCTTATAAACAATGTACAAGAGTCAAGTAAATGTGGACACATAAGAATTTAAGTAAGTAGGGTTGGGCCTCAATACCCCATCTATCCTGCCACATTTTTAGCACACCAGCTTGGGCTTTCCCTGCCACCTGAGCCCTGCAGTTGTGTAGGTCATTCACGAGCTGATTTGCTCCGAGTATCACGCATTCAAACCCTTGCCTAGCTTGTGTGATATGCAGGCCGCACATTTGAGCTGTGGGCCAAACCAGTTGCTTCATAGCCACATCTCTTGCAGTGCTCAGTTCTTTGGTGTTTTATGGAGGAGGATGTTCTGTCTAACTTGTCTTTAGCTGATCCTGCAGAGTGTTTATGAATTTCAAGTGAAGCTTTTGAGCAGCTCCATTATGGCAGCCACAGGTGTTGGTGTGCCCATTCACATGTGGAGGTTGCATGTGTTACAGCTAAGTAAGAGGCAGGAATGGGCTGGGAAAAAAACTGTGGCTCTCCACCAACAGATCTAAGCTCTGTTGTAATTAGTTTAAAAACCACATGCCACTGTATCTTGTTGCTTTCAACAGGCATAGGACCTAACCTTTCATGCTCTGGATTAATTTTCTCCTTGATTCTCAGTCTTTAGCAGATGTTGACAATTCAAAAGCAGTTTTGGCTGATAGAGAACCTGATAAAACTGGGAGAGAAACAGAGTTGAAATTTGCTCCAGATGTTGATGAAGATGAAGGCATTGAGGAAGAAGAGGGGGAAAGTTGGGGTATGTTTTAAATGTTTATTTTGATTTAACCCATATGCTGTAATCTCCTGTCTGTAGAAGCAGGAGGCACTTGGCTCTTCAAAGTGGACAGGTAAAGCTGATCCTGATCTCAAAAACAGCACATGTTGTTGCACAAAGATCAAAACTTAAAGCTAAAGCTATTGTTGGCTTTTGAATCCTGCCATGATCAGTTGTGTTTAACTGATAGGAGTAAAACTGGGGACACTGAGGTTATGCAGAATAGAAGAAACTTGATCAGAATATAGGATAGGAGAAGACACTACTTGAGTTGTGTGTTTTTTCTGCTGTAGTGCCATCACTACTGCTTCTTTGTTTGGTAGGACTTGTTCAAGTCATTCAAGAACTGCATTTCCTTAATGTAGTTAAGCAAGATCAGCTAATCCTGGGTGTCCTTTTCAGGCCACAATTTTGTGAGCAACTTAATGTCAAGTATTGATTAGCATGACTTCACTTAAGTTTCTAAAAGGTGCTATTAGTGCCACATCTTTTACTTGGAACTCATTCAGAAGAGGTAACATGGCTGTACGTTACAGAACCTACTGTACTGTGACTTTGTTACCTCACTAATAAAGCCATAAGTTCTCTTTGCGCACTGTCTCAGAAGCCTGTTTGTGGGGTTTTAATCCTTAATTTCAGCTCAGGAACATCTTTAAAATTTCACGTATCTTTTCTGAAGTCCCCTAAATCCCAGGCCCTGGGCCTGACTAACCATAAGCAGTCTGCTGCCTTTGAAGCCATTGCTGCTGCTTTCTAAAATTCGGTCGCTGATGAATTTTAGTTGATGAATTTCAGTTCTTCCTCTCTCCCCTTGAAGATCCGTTGGTACCAGCACCTAATGACAACCAAGTTGCACGTCTGAAGACCTACTTTGGGCATTCCTCTTTTAAACCGTAAGTATCTCTTCAGTTTACACTGTACGCTCTGGGCTTCAGTTTCTCTCCCTTCTTTCAACTGGAATGACTTTACTATTCTTTATTTTAATAACATTAACAAACTTGGACCTTTGGAAAAATCTTAGAAAAGCAAAATCAGTCTTTGCCACTATAAGGTATTGAAAAAGATCTTACAGAGAGGTAGCTACAATATGGTACTCTCACAGTAGAGGATAAGTTTCTTTTGGGTCTGATGACAGGGCTCCCATGACTAAAACTTTATTGTGTCAGGTCTATGGTCAGAGAGCAACGTTTGGAGAAAGCTGATTTAGTTGTTTAAAAAAGGGATGAAGCCTTGTTTTGTCTCGTGTGTGTTCATTGTTTGCTTTGATTTATTTCCTGGACCTTCTTATGGATCTCTGAAATAGCAAAAAGATGCAAAAAATTCAATCAGAAATGCAGTTTTACAGATTTACATCTTTTTTTGACCAAAAGAAAAAATCTTTACTTTGCAGAGTCCAGTGGAAAGTGATCAGTTCTGTTTTAAAAGACAGAAGAGATAATCTTGTCGTGATGGCAACAGGTAAGTAACTTTTAAGCCCATGCTTAAGATGTGCCAGATCTCTGTCTTGATGGGTAAATTAGGACTTTGAAATTTGGAGGCTGCTGCCTTGGATCACAGGGCAGAGTGTGCAGGACTCGTCTCCTTCTCCAGACTCTGCTAGGCTCAGCCTGCTCTTTTGCTTGCATTTCTGTCCCCATCTTCACCACTGACCTTGCTGTAGGGAGGAGCCTTCAATGGATGCAGGTCATGTTTGTCTCCCATCTCTTTGTCCTTGTGCAGAAGGAACAAAATCTTACAGAGCTCAGGATGAGGCTAACGTTGTCTTACATAGTTGTGTTGAGTGGCACAAAGCATGATGCCTTACTCTAGCTTTGCTGTTATGTTTTTATTTAAGGCTATGGGAAAAGCTTGTGCTACCAGTTTCCCCCTGTTTACACTGGATGTACTGGAATTGTCATCTGTCCTCTTATTTCGTTGATGGAGGACCAAGTGCTGCAGCTAACGTAAGTAACACGGTAGCGATTGACTCCTGCTGTATTTCCTATGGAAACCCACAGATTCTGCTGTTTGTGTGTTGGCTGTCAAACACATTTCTCTAGAAACAAATGTAATCTCTGAATGCTGTCAAGATTGCTGCATTTGCCCACTAGATAAGTTGCGGCTGAATCTGAAAAGGATCTGTGGTGGTGGGTGCTTCATGGAGTGGGTCATTACCAGATCCACAGGTCCCTTTCTGTTCAGACCAGGCAGATGGAGCAAATGCTCTGAAAAGTTGCCTTAAAACTTGCTAGGGCATCCCTTGCATCCAAACAGTAGTGCCTGAACAACAGGCCTCCAGCTGAGGGCTGGAGGCAGCTCAAAACAAGGTTATTGCACTTTTTTTTTTTTTTTTTTTTTTTTTTAAGATAAAATGGTCTACTATCACTTCTTCCTAGATATGAAGGCCTGATGCAGGAATTGCTGGGTAACACTGAGTCACTCTTATACAATCAATCATTAAGTGTGGCAAAAATATTATTTTTATGATACTAATACTTGTTAGTACTCTCTGCACTTGCACCCATTTGCTATTTTAACAGCTATCTCATTTTGATACAGTCTGTCTATATTGCAAACTGCTGCAGTCTGAATATTGTGCTTGCCTTGTCCAAGTTGGAATGAAAATGCCCTGTATGAAAGAAGAGATTTTACTTGTATAAAAGACTTTTAAGCAAGGAAAATCTGTTATGTGGGGAATTTTCTGCTGCAAATTATGTTTTTGTGCTGCTGAATGGCTGGACAACCTAAGCCAGCTCTTGGACTCAGTATTGATCAGCAGAGTATCTATAATGTTATAGATACTTTTGTTGCCTCTAAGGCTATTGTATTGTTGCTGTCTGTGCAAGATGAGAGCCTTTTTATTCAGTGCCTGCTCAGTGCATCATCTGTTTTGAAGGCTGAAGAGACTGAATTTCTCCAGTAATTGGGCTGTCAGTCAGGATGTGGTGCTATCAAGGACTGAAATGTGGAGGAGTGAGAGGGGAGAAGGCGATGAAATATGTTGCTATATTAAAAAGCAGTAAATCACCAAGTTAAGAGGACAGGGGTTCAAGGGTTCTAGTCAAGGCTGAATATCAAGTGACTGAGTTGGTAAGCGTAGATATTGAACCTCTCTTTAAAAAGCAGACACTCGATTGAAAGTTGATTGATGTGGTACCAGTAGCTTGGAAAAGATCTAGAGATGAGACAGAAGACTGGAAACTAGTAAAGCAAGTTTGATAATCTGAACATGATGAACTGCATAAGATAAATTTGGAGACTGTTTCCTATCATATTTTGTTCCTTCAGATTTTTGGAAAGGAAAATGGTTTTAATTTGCTTGCCTCTCGTTCTCATAAAACATGTGTGTATGTTGTGACAGGTGGAAGAAAAGTGAAAGAGCATTTGGGCAGGTGGAACAGTGACTGACCATTCTTCCCCCTCCCCCCAAGAGTTTTTATTTCTACAGTGATCCTTGGAGGAAAATACTGTGACCCCACAGCTTGAAAGTGGTTTTTATAAATGCTTTATGTGCTTTGATAAGTACTAGCTTTAAGTGTGGGCATAGGCTGGGAAGTGAAGCAGAAAATATCTCCAGTTGGTTCATGACTGTGCGCTTTTTTTGTTTTGTTTTGTTTTTTAAACTGCAGAATGTCAGAGATTCCAGCCTGCTTGCTTGGATCAGCTCAGTCGAAAAACATCAAAGAAGGCATCAAAGCGTGAGTCTTACCTAGGCTTTCTGGGGCCGCAGGCACCGACGTAGCGGTATTTGAGTCAAGTAGGATGCTCTGATCTGACACTTCTAAATCTCTTGGCTGTGGCTCAGGCCTGAAACTTGGCAATACTGCTTGTGTGTGTGCCTGTTAGCAATGTGGGAGGGATATAGCACCTTCCTGTGCCCTCTGGCTAGAAAGATGACCTTGTTAGGTTTTATTTAGGAATCATAGGTCTTAACGTGGTAACAAATACAGGTCTATCACGGTGGTCCCTTCTAGTTTGGAAAAATAGTTAATTTCTTTTCTACTGTTTATCTTGTCATGTTATTTACTGGTTGGTTATCCTTCTAACTTTGCATACTTTCCACTGCATTCATCCCTTGCTTCCTCTTTTCCCCATCCAAAGTTCATCCTTATCCCCCTTTATGTCATCTAGACAGCCATGCTTTCATTTAATTTGGTGGATTTGTTTGGGGCTTTTCCTTCCATGATTTCCCTGATGTATTTCTCTGATGTTGTAGGGGTCACTACAGAGTCATATATATGACTCCAGAGTTCTGTTCGGGGAACTTAACACTGCTCCAGGAACTTGACCAAACCATTGGTAAGTTGTGGTTAAGGTTGGGGATAAATTGGTAGGCATCTTAAAATCATAGTTGTCCTTCCTGTTAGGGAAGGTGACTGGCAATAAGTGGAATCAGAAGATCATGTCACTGATCAAAGATCCAAGCAGTGTGTTTAGCTTGCTCTTGGCATGGAAATGCAAGAGACAAATGTGCGTATGTGTGTTCCTTTTCTTTTTTCTCTTTGTTTTTTGCTGTTTGAGAAAACATAGCGTTGTTTTCCCTGGGTATGCTTGACACCTTTCCTCTCGTATTTTTCTGTGCTTGCATTTGTCTTCTCAGCGTTTTCCTGAGATTTGCAGGTTTTGTTTTACAGTCAAGGAAATATAGATAATGACATCTGTAAACCACATAAATGATAACTGGTAAGAAAGTGTGAAAAGGGAAGATGAAGTGTGGTTTAATTGTTGGGGTTAGCTATGGGTTTGCCCTGTGGAGAAAGAGGTTTGAGATTTGGAAAATGGGGAAGGAAACAAAGGTGGGAGAAAAGTCTCTGTAGACTCTTAAGCTGTCTTGCATAAGAGACCAATATAAAAAGGGGCTTGGTGAGTCCTTACAGCAGAAGATATTAAGAAACAAGAAGGAAAACACATTGCTAGGTGCCATCTCAGTAAAGCTTGAAATTGAGCAGAATGTAGTGAGTTTGTATTTTCCAGTATCTCCTGTTTGTTTGCTATTTAAGCACTTTTCCCATGTTATGAATTTGTCTGCCCAGGTATCACCCTCATAGCTGTTGATGAAGCTCACTGCATATCAGAATGGGGACATGACTTCAGAAGTTCCTTTAGGAGTTTGGGTTCGTTGAAGAAGGCTCTGCCATTGGTAAGGTTTCATGATAGGTTTAATTTAGAATTGGAGAGAGGGATTCCCTCCCCTTCTGAATGACAGACTGAGATCTCGCCTCCTGGTACTGCTTTTCTTCGGGTTTACCTACCTTGTTGTTTTGGAGTTCATGCATGCTCTGTCAGTCAGGCGCTTTTTTTTTTTTTTTTTTTCCTCCTTCTTCTAAACTTACTGTTATAGTTTGTCTCCAACTCTTTTTCATGGTGGATATTCTGAATCTGGAGTAACATACTTTTGGATGTTAGAGTTAAGATTTAGTTGGATCCCTTTATATTGGAAAATCTTGTACTGAAACGCCTCGCTCACTTTCTGGGATTTTTTTGAAACTGGTTGAGTGACTTGCTAGGCCAAGCAGTGGAGATTTCCAGGCACTCCTAAAGCACTGTTGCAGAAGGTCCAAAACTGAACTGTTACAGTGAACATAAGCAGATTAATATGTCTATTCTCACGTTGGTATTTAAGTTTCGACTCATAATTTTTAAAAATTATCAGCGAGGGGAGCTACTCAAACTACTTGATTCCCCTGTGGGGTTTGATTGTGGTTTGATTTTTTTGTTTTGTTTTTCATTACAGGTTCCCATCATGGCTTTAACTGCAACTGCAAGCCCTTCGATTAGAGAAGACATAGTGAAGTGTCTCAACCTGAAGAATCCCCAAATCACGTGCACTAGTTTTGACAGACCAAACCTGTACTTAGAAGTTGGGCAGCAGAGTGGAAATATCCTTAGAGATTTGAAGCAGTTTCTTATTAGAAAAGAAAGGTGAGAGTTTAAGCCTGTGCTCTTTGTTCCCTGAATACTTTTGAGGTTATCTGCAACAAACTGAGAACTGGTGGTAGACTTATAACTGATGTAATGACTTTTCATGTTAACTCAAATGAGGGAGGTGGAGAAAATGGATCTAAAAACTGTTTAAATCTTTAATTTTTGACCCTTTTTAATTAGGGTCAATCAGCGTTTTGGCAGATAGTTTCTCTTTTTCTGTATCTTTACATGTTTTAGCAACATCGTCACATGTTGCTGCTATTTTTGTCAGTTCTAGGTACGAGTTTGAAGGACCCACGATCATTTACTGCCCTTCAAGAAAGGCCACTGAGCAAGTTGTTTCTGAGCTTGTAAAACTGAATGTGGCCTGTGGTTCATACCATGCTGGTATGGGAATCAAAGAGAGGAGAAATATCCATCATCAATTTATGAGGGATGAAATCCAGGTAAGTAAGTGTGCATAGTCCCATTTGTGGCAGTAGGGTTTCTGGCAGAAAATGGGTCAGTCATTGCATCAACACATATACTGGAAATACCAGTCTGTCTGGTTTACTCTGTACATCTCCCATTCTGAGCAAGAAATTGCTGGTCTGTGCTGATAGTGATATTGTTGGCATAAGTTGCCAGTCCCTTCAATAAATCTCTAGCATCTGAGCAAAGTGGTGGTAGGTGAAATCATGCTCTCCATCAGCTGCTTTATCAGTTCAAAATGTTTTCTGTCTGCTTTTTCTTTCATAGTGTGTTGTAGCTACAGTGGCATTCGGAATGGGCATCAATAAAGCAGATATCCGGAAGGTTATTCATTATGGTGCCCCTAAGGAAATGGAATCCTATTACCAAGAAATTGGGAGAGCCGGTCGTGATGGGCTTCCTGCTTCTTGTCACGTACTGTGGACGTCGGCAGACTTGGCCTTAAACAGGTAAGCAGTTTGAGAACAGCTGCTTTGACAGGGAGAGCCAAAACTTCACTGCCCGTGCTCTTTTCTCAGTTCCTTGCTCTCGGGGAATACCATAGTGGGGATTAAATTAGGTTAAAACCATGGTGGCTAATGTCCTAACACATTTCTGATCTGGTCACTTGTGTTGATGAGGAATTGCCAGAGCTTGTTTGGAAAACTGGAGATCAAAAGGGATTTTTCTGTACAGCCTCTTCCCTCCTTGCTCTGCATTTCAGTGCATTAGTTTTCATATTTTAGTGGCTTGTGGGGCTGGAACAGAGTCTCAATATCTCCATCTCTCCTTTTGAGAATATTTACTCTAAGTAGCACAGTATGAGTTTGGGATTTTCCTGAATATTCCCCATACTACAAAGATTCAGCTTCTGGAGAAGCTGAGGTTTTGATGTGGTTTTAGTAGGAATTTTCTTTCTGTTTCCAGTCAAATTGATTCATACAGCTGACTGGCATATCTCTAGTTCATTGAAAGACAGAGGGACAGCAATCAGTATTTAATTTGTTTTTCCTCCTGACTGACAGACATCGTCTGAACGAGATACGCAATGAAACGTTCCGATTGTATAAACTTAGGATGGTAGCAAAAATAGAGAAGTACCTTATCTCAAACGGCTGCAGGAGGAAGTGAGTACTGCATTTTATTTCATGTTTCCTATAACTTCAGAGTTTACATCAAGAGCTACTGTGGCTCAGTCCCAACAGAAGGCTTTTTATTTGCAATGTGTTCTGCAAACATGTTCTTTAGTATTTGAAAGCATTGTCTAGAAATATGACCTTCAGCATGTTTAGAAATATATATATATGCATACATATAAATGCATATATATTATATATAAAATAAGAAATATCAAAAAGCCTGTAGAACATTGAAGGCCAAATAATTGGCTTTCCAGTGAATGAATTAATGATGCTGATTTCAACTCACTGCTTTCTGGAGTTTAAAAGGTAAATTCCTGTATTTTTTATGTAATTTCCTATGTTTCTTTGGGTAGAATTATCTTGTCTCACTTTGAAGACAGACAACTCCGCAAGGTCTCCTCGGGCATCATGGGAACAGATGAGTGCTGTGATAATTGCAGGATCAGGTAAATGTTCTTCCCTGAAGACTGATGTGGGAGGTTAGCTTCACTCAGGCTGACTTACCAGGCAAATGATCCAAAAAGGATTGACTGTTTCTATACACTTCATTTTGCAAGTGTTAGTGTAAGAGAGAGGCGGGGGGGAAAAAAAGTGTTTTGGCTATTAGGTACTATTAAAAATGTCTTAAGTGCAAAAGCTGGTCCAAATATTGTATACTAAATAAATCAGAAGATGAAACAGTCTTCTGTCAAAGCATGCAATGTGAAGAATTGCTTAGCTGGTTGTCCAGCTGTCTTAATCGCATGACATTTTGGCTTTTGCTTATTTTCATTTTTAATCATAGATCTTTGATTTCAAAAGTATGTTTAATTGCTTATATGAATGGAACTTAGGGTGTGATTTGTGTTTTATCATGCCATAAATAAAAGAAGGGGGAGCACTAGGTAATTGGATTTTAATGTAATTAATCGTGGTTTTCTTCATGCACTTCAGAACTTCTCGTTTTGCGACCTCCAGTGACTCAGAAGGAAATTTAGAGGATTTTGGACAAGAAGCCTTCAAGCTGATGTCTGCAGTGAGTGCCCTGGATGAGAAGTTTGGAACTAAACTGCCCATTTTGTTTCTCCGAGGGTCTGTAAGTGACACTTAAACCTTTGTGTTTTGGGAGCAGAGGGGTTGTTATGGCACTCCGTCCTCTTTCCTGATGCCCTGAGCAATATAGACACACAAAGATTAGCAATTCTGCCAATGCCTGGCTTAAGTTCTTCCAGTAAACTTTTAAGTGTTCCAATTCTTCATAGCGAGTTTCATGTTTTTATGGAGACAGTTAAGTTGCTTCTCCGTAATTTATTTTATCCTGAAGAAATCGGCATTTTCAGAGTGAAGAACAAAAGTATCTTTTCATAGTTATCTGTTGGTTTATGAATAAAGCAGATGACTGAGTTCAGCCTTAATACTGCTGACCTGCTTGGGGTGGTGAGGTTAGGTTAGCTGCGACTGCTACTCAGTTACAAGTTCTCTAGAGAAATGCTGTTGGAAATGTGTTCTTCCTCGCTCAGGTTTTTGGTTCACCAGATATAGTGTTATTTTGTGACGAGGAAAAAAAAATGCCGACCCATTCTTCTGAATTTCAGAATTCTCAACGTTTGCCAGAAAGATATCGAAGACATGCTCTTTTTGGTAGCGGAAAAGACTGGCCAGAGAGTTGGTGGAAATCACTGGGCCAACAGTTGATGAATGAGGGGTTCCTCAGAGAAGTCTCTGGGCATA